ATCTAGAATCGATTTAAAATAGTTAATTCTAGGACATGAAATTACTTTTTAAAAGTAAATTATTCTTCTAGATATAGATTCAGCATTAATTTCTTAAGTTTTCTGCTTCTACCAAACATGCATTTATATCTAATGTGTTCAGTTTGCTCAAAGCTTATAAAAATGCATGTGATTACGGTAATTAATAGATTCATAAAGAAAATATTAGATCTGTTATTAATTTAATAATAGAAAATAATTTTTTTATTGAACCACTTTAACTTATTCATTTCCGGGAATAATTTTCCACTCTTCAATTTGAAATAAATTAAATTAAAATATAATATGATTTAAAATATAATATATTTAATTCAATATATAAAAATTATTTCTCGGCAATTTGACTTTCAGCTCGGAATTACTGTTCAATATTTAGAAAAATATTTACAATTTAATGTTTTGCATATCTTCTAATTTAACATTGAAAGCGATTAATCGTGAAGCTACTGTGATTCAGAATTTACATGTTTTCTAGATATGTATTTAGATATAAAAATATAGTAGAATAAGTTTTTGAATCACAGTGTGCGCAAAAATTGTCTATGTAAATATTATTACGCGGTACAACAAACATTCTATGGTATCGTCAACAAATATTTTAGCGAAAACATAGTCAAATGAATATAATTTATAAAAACCTATATTTTTTATGAATTTTCCAATTTTTGCCTATCAGTGAACAAACTATTAAACTTTTTCATCAGAGAGAGAGAGAGAGAGAGAGAGAGAAGCTTCTAAATATTTTTAGATACAAAAATTGCAAAATTTACATGAGCCATTCGTATACAACGATATTTTATAAAATAAATTTCGGTTTACATCTAGAAACTCAAATATATGTATAACCGGGCGTAGAATAAATATCCCAAAATTACTGATTGAAAAAAGATCGATTTTTAATTTTTCTGTGAAATTATATTCTATTATTTTATCATTGATAAACACATTAGATTTCGTAAAAAAGAATCGAAATTTTCGATTAATTTTTATTCCTTTTTCTAAAATCGATTTGAAATAGTTAATAAAAAAAAAATTATTAAAAAAAATAAATTATTTCTTTAACCTTTAATTGATCACGTAGAACTGCCACGATTCCAAGTTATTTTATCTAACGTAACGTATTGTCTCGCGGCAAATTAAAGATTAAATATTTATAGGATAATTGGATAAAACGAATAATCAGTATGCGGATTGTGTTACTAATTGTTTATGAAAAGATTCGTTATCAATATTTGCGATAATCGAGTTCCAATTGTTACTGTGATTTAATATTCCATACCGACGTCAATCACACACAATTATCTTCGTTATAAATTTACATAGTAATTTCCAGGAGATTCCAATGGGAATTTCAGTGCTTCAAAGCTCATGAATATCCAGTTATCCCGATTGATCTTGGGGAAGAAACGGAGAGAAATTCTGTGCCCGACTTCATAAATCTATCTCTTTCTCTTCCTTTCTTCGCAGATACTTCACTTCGTAGTTACTTGAATACAGTCTCAAGTGAAAATTTGAATTGACAGTGCGCTAAAAACGTGCTCATTTATCTCAATGGCCCATTTGTCAGCCAACAAGCAATTCATTACATACATTTTAATCTAAAGAATATATTTCATGTAAATTGCGAGTTAAATTCAATCGAATTGGAAAAATCAGAAAGACAAATTCATTTACATATAGTACCGCGGAGTTACATGTACCGAGATATTATTTTATTTAATTTATAAAAAAATTTATATCTGTAGAGGCATAGATTATAATATATTATATATACATATGTGTACACAATGACGTAGGCGCGCGTATGCGTGTAATTTAATCGCGCATGTGTTTTAGATGGCATTTATGAAGAGATACTCTGTACCGTGTTTTTGAACGACATTTGCCAGAATGTTAAACGCCGTAGTTAGTCAAAGAAACATTTCGCACGATTGAATTGATAATCTAACACAGTTCTACACATCTGACTCGAAAAAAATGTATCATGTCGTCTCGCGTTCTTATTATCGCGCGGATATTTTTTACTAATTAAAGCCATCGACAAATGTCGCAGCGCAAGATAATACAATCGGAATAATATAATCGGCGATTCCATTGTACATGTAAATATTTGATATCAATCAGATTGTAGTGCGGTAAGTGCGGCAGGTTCTCACACCTACCCGCTTTTCATCTCTCGTTGGCCACGTCTGCCTTTGTACTATGAGATGATTAAAAAGCGACCGTTCACATCCGCAAATGCTATGCCAAGCTGTGTCAATTATACCCCTACCATTCCCCTTTTTTTCTCTTTCCTTTGCTGTGTCGTGTCGCGTGCATTATATCTCCTCTTGCGTCATTGCCAGTGCATCTCCGTCGCTGCATAGCGAACAATGGTGTAGGTATTTAATATTTGCACATCAAGGAAAGTTCGTGATTTCAAATATCGCCAAGGCGCCACAGACGTCCACCTCTCTGGAAAGACGCTGCTTTAATTAACAGTACCCGATAAACTCCTTACAAGGTGAAATCGCAATTCGTCGTCAATGTTTGGCGCAGAAATTTTAACATTGTTAAAATCAGGAGACACGTTAGCGCCTCAGCGCTAAGCCAAGCGCAACGACACTACCCATACAGCACAGAATTTGCAGCAATATTGCTGCAAAATCTCTGCAATATTGTAACAGTGTTGCTGCAAGTGTGGGTACTATCCCCCACCACGGTCCTGTGCCGGGTTAAAGGGATTCAGTTCCTTGGCCCAAAATAGGACTCACGATTGTACGACTCTTGAAAACGGAGTCATAGCATCTTATCCGGACGTTGACCCATATTTCGAAGTCACATATTCCTAAGTGCATTCGACTCGCTCCATCCTCTTCCACGTGGATGCATGCGAGACAAAGCGTCTGCTCTAACATCCTTCTATACTCCATCCTTCTCAATCCCTCTCTTTCTAAACCAATCCATTCACATGTTCGGAATTTGGACGTAACAGTATTTTTCGTCGGTGTTATTACCAATAATGTAATCGTTAAAACGTAATAAGTTGTTTTTTTCAGAATTCTATTGATTTGTTTCTTATAGTTATTTTATAAAAATCTATATGATAATGATGGAGACTGTTACAATCTTACCACTAACATTTTAATTATTAAGACTAAAGTGCAATGATTCTATAATTGATTTATTATAGTTATTTTTTTTTAAGGTAGGTGATAGTGATTGTTACAATCTTATTATATTAGGGCCGACTGTTCCACCTTTTGGCAAATCTTACGCATTAGATAAGTAGCAAGAGCATCCAATCGCAATGCCAGACTTACCTAACACGTAAAATTTACCGAAAGGTGGAACAACAGCTTTTATTAATGTAATTGTTGTAATGCAGGAGTGAATATATCTGTATATAAATTACAAAGGGTGGTTTTTATTTATTGAAGAGCAACGTCAACAGGAATTGCAAAAATATGTTCACCTTGCATTTCTTGATTGGTTAGTTAGTAAAATTTTTTCTTCTAATTGGTCAATCAAAAGTTTCGAAGCATTTGTAGCATCAAGTGAACTACATCCCTTGTTTTGCCTCTTTTTTTTAAGTCATTTCACACATTTAATGAATTTTGGGGCCTTTTGGTAAATTTTGAAGCAGGGATTTATTGAAATTATTTTTTGACCCGCGGCAACTGGTAATGCTGGCGGCAGAAGAGGGAACCTCCGCAACAGGTTGATGGAAAAGGGGCTAAGAAGAAGAAGGAGCAGGTCAGGACGGAGAGAGAAACGAAGAAGAACGCGAGAAAACGGTCATTGCCACCACCTAACCTCGAGAAGTTCCCGAACGCTAGAGTCCCCGTCGGCACGATAAGCGCCGGTCCCAACATGGTTTACTGTCCGTGGCTATCCCGCAGTTTAGCTTGCTGTCGTTTGTACCTATTCGGCTTTACCTCTTACTTGTGTGGGGGGCTAACTTCCCTCTCTTAAGAGGACGCGAACGAGCGCGCGTGCTCGGCTGACGCGTGTGTCGTGGCCTGCCAATTCTTCGT